TGTAGTCAACGGCGGTAGGAGATCCGGACCTGGTGGCTTAAACTCACACCGGGCGTGTGTGCGTGCGTGTCCAAGATCCTGAGAGGAGCATGGAGGAGAAGGGATTGCAGCATGGCCATCCCCCCTGGGGGGGTGATTTTTCACTTTCTGTCTCTCTGTCTCTCTCTGTCTTTCTGATGAGCGCACGCACCCTATAGCAAAACAAAACAAAACAAAACAAAACAAAAACAAAAACAAAACCCTCTTCAAAATAAAAAACAAAAAAAACAAAAAACAGGAGTTCCACTCCAGCATGTATCTCTATTTTCATTATCATACTTTTTTAGTTAATGAGTTCTCAGCAGTTTCCTAGTTCTAAGTTTCAACTATCTGCCTGCCTTACAATGCTCCTGCTGCCTTATTTTCTGTAACTGTCCAACACGCATCCACCAGGTCAAGGAAAATTCTGAGTCTAGATCATTTCGCCAAATTTTTCAGTTTCCCTTTGTCTTTTAGCTTCATACAACATATTGTCTTTGAAGGTATATTTCCCCCCCCCTTTTTTTTTCTCTGAGTTAGTGTGAACTCAGGAAATGCAAACCACTTTTTGCTGTTGGCCTAAGGAAAATATTGATAGCAATGTAAACATGCTATGAGATGAGCTGTTTACATGCCTGATTTTGCTAGAAATGAAGGTCCTTGAAGAAGCATCTAAGCGCGGACCTTGGCCAGATTAGACTCTCAAATATCTGTCGAGTTAATTAATTCTCCAAACCAAATGAACTATTTAGATTAGTTCCAACACTTTCTTTTACATTAATTGAAGGGATTATTCATTGCAGCGTTAAGAGGTTCCTGTAAGTACAGAAAAGATGCCACATAAATCAATAACCTTCCAAATTCCAGAGGTCAATCTCATATTATTGTTCTGCTAAGGAAATGCTCTGAGAACAAATATGACAATGGATATGTGGAGCAGGTGAGAGCCTTTCTCCAAGGGGAAGAGTACGCAGAAGACCACCTCATTAACAGACGCCTGACAACGGACCCTGAGAAGTTCTGAACCTGAGCACCGAACAGCACTAGCAAACCCTCTAATGTCTATGCACATGAAGGAAAAAATTAGGACAACATTACTATTTTCGAAAACCTCCTTTTGACAGTATTAAACCCAGATGATACTAATACATACAGGACGGAGACAACTGAGGTTAGACTGTGCTGTCTGTGGCTGCTATTGTGGGGAATGTGATCTGAAATCTTCATTTTGGTAAAAGTGAGCCATGTTCCAACAGCTTCTGTTGAATGGAACAGACTTTCACAACTCTATCACTTTCATACACACACACACATTTTCTTTGTGTTTCTTACAATTCGTTTTTTAAAAATTGGCAAAGCTAGATGTCACAGCCAATGTTTTAGGTTTTTGCAGAGAAAAATAGAAAAGTAAGTCATGACTTTTCCAACGACCTGATAGTTTTGTCTTTTTTTTTTTTTCATATCCATTTGCTGGGACCCAGTAATTTTTTTTTTAAGCATTCAGACACATATGCTACTGTGGCTGCATGTTCAAACACCCATGTGGAAATAGTCCACTAGACTTATACATTCATTCTTAAAAGCCTGGAGTATGCAAACAAAGATGCAGCGGGCAGAGGGCCAGTTAATAAATCTCATTTCCGACTAGCATCTGCATGAAACAGCGCTGTGAGGAGTATCCTCTCCGGGGAGACCGAGAGCACGACTCGTGTGCTCTGTGAATTAAAAGGCGTCACCTCAGATGGCCCATATGCCATTTATGTTTGAAGTAGCTCTAAAAATATATGATTTCTAGCACTCACACATGCAGTGAGGAAGCTGAGCTGAGGAGGTGATCTGACAGTGGCAGACATGATGGAAAATGTCCACATGGTTCTTCCGAGCCATCTTTGCACTTGTTCTTTGCTATTGAAATGACTAATCTGGGGGGGATGCTTTTTCTAAGGGAAACTTGCTTTTCCACACTAGTTTCAGTAATGATTTGCCACCCACTCTACTCCAGTTCATGAAGACAGGCTCTATTTACACTAACAGATACCTGGGTTAAGACATCTGGGTTAAAAAACCACAAGTGATTTGTGTTTATGAATGATCTGGTGCAAAGGCTATAATAACGTGTCCTTCTCCAGAGAGTGACCGCTTCCCACTACCAATGCTCAAGAGCACTGTCCTGCTCTCAGGTGTCCTTTCTTCCTATCACCTGTGCTGCCAGCAAGGTGAGGTGTGCTCTTGTCCAAGAGCTCCTAGGGGTCCCTCTCCAGTAATAATAGCATTCTTCTTTACGTAGTTTTTTTTTTTTTTTTTTTTTTTTTTTTTTCTAAAAAATTATCTTTTTAAAGGTTGGATGTTAACCTCACATCTCTGAAAGAATAGGACTTGAAATCCTTATTCATAACAATTAAAGGTAGAAAATGAAAACTAAAAGACTTCGGAGGGCCTGCGTGAGAGTCAGCACAGCAACCAGGAAAGTTCCCTCTGCTCTTGCTAGTGCCTTGGGCTTATCCAGCACATCCCCACCCCACAGCCCCCGCCCTCTGGGAAGACCTTCCAAGTGCATCTTATTGTTGAGGACTCCACTAAACCTACAGCCAAAGTAAAACTTTGATTTGGTTAAATCTCTACTCTGGCTTTCAAACTGCCTTCCAAGTTTCCTCAGCAATTAAGTGGCTATATTATTCCAGTCTTGGGATGCCAAAAAATGATGGAATGCTTCCTGGATATAAAAATGTGTCACATTTTTCCTTCCCCTACGCCCTACCAAAAAAAGAAAAAAGAAAAAAAAAAAAGTGGTAGTTACAGTACAGTACACTTTGAAAGAAATAGCAAGGTAAATCAAGGAAAACAGCAAGTATGTCAGTCTCTGTGTGTATCCTTTGTAAAATCAACACAAATGTAATTTTGGAGGCTTCTGTCTTCATTTAACCTATGACATATTACTATAACATCCAGTAATCCTATTACATAAAGTACAAATGCAATGATGCTCTTAGTGACTTAAGAATTTTTTCAAGTCAGGTCTTTATTACAATTGAGTTTCGTTTTTTCATAATTTTCAGGTACCATATAGGGACTCATAAAGCAAATTGGAAGTAATTCAGGAAATGAAAATAATATAACTTGAATTGAAGAAATAAATAAAAATTCACTTTAAAGGAACGATTTATCACCAAAGGTAATATGTAACCTTTCTACAAAATAATTTTCCACTGCCATTTCAAGTTGTTCATATGAGTAATAAAACCCAACTAGGCAACTTCCTTTGGTTCACATGGTTAAACGTGAACTCCATCTTAAAAGCAACTGCTATCTACATACCAGGGATGAAAACATTTAGGAAATGAGGGTTTCAAATTTATTACCTACAAGAACAGCTCAAATATGTGAGGTTTAAAAGCAATGAAGTCTTTTTTTTTTTTTAATTCTATTTTTAGGCTCTAAGATGTTCCAAAAGAGAAAGGTGGAGGCATAAGGAAAGAAGGGACCCATTTTTCCAATCCCAGGATCACCAAAAGGAAAGTTCCAGAAGTTGTGGACTAATTTTGGTTTACATTAAGAGAATAAGGAGCACCTGAAATGTGCAAGGATGCCATGTTAACACAGTGGCTGGAACCATAAGGCATGAGATTTTGGTGACCTCATGGGCACAGCCAAAATTAACTTCAAGTATTTATATAACTGCCAGAGATAACAGGGCAAAGGTTACTTGTAATACTTGTAATTCTTTTTTTTTTTTTTTTTGAGTCAACAAATAGTACGTTCCTTTGGTTATAAAGAAAGGAAGTGGGGTACTGGGTTCTATTTTATGAAATACAACATTTATACGCACAGAATAGTCTACCCATAATACCATCTGAATGTTTAGATGAAAGCTTTTAAAACAAACCAAAAAAGAGTTATTTCCTGTTGCTCACTAGCTGAGAGGATGCGCTTTAGAGGTATGTGTGCTCTGCCTCAAAGCAAAAGCATTGTTAGTGGTTATCAAGGTAACATTTAAAAATAACTACCCCAGTACAAATGAACTTTAGAGGAAATATGACCGAAGCTATCAGTCTCCCTTCAAGTCTGGCCTTGAGCTGCCTAAGACTCTAGCTGCATTCTCCATTACATTGTTATCCTTATCAAACAATGCAAACAATTTTAATGAGCTTATCTACTGGAACATATTGCCAGATACGTTAATGTAAAAATGATGCCAACCATACAGCCCAACTCATTAATCAAAAGGCTCACAACACAATGACCAAGATCAGTCCCATCCTCAAATCAGACCTCAACAAATACCAAGAATTACCTTTCTACTGTAAATAAGAAGGAAGGGCTCCCCCACCCATGCGGAGGCCATAAACTCCCAAGAAAATGCATAACAGCTCCCAGTTTTTTTCAGGTCCGTTGCAGCCCTGTCTCCTTCCAATAAATCCAGGGTTCTGAGGAGAAAATTTTGGTGAATGTCTGACACCGTGACCTCTGCTGTCAATCCTTGCACCAATCAGAGAGCAGAATTCTTACAAAGCTCCATCAATCTGGCGGTTTAACATCACAGACTGCAGCTTAATCTAGAGGATTCCATCTTTCCTGCACACTCTCCAGGTTCAGTGCAAATGTCTTTCTGGCCACCCTCCCGTTTTTACCCTTTAGGCATTGCTATGGCTCCTTTAAAATCTAAAAGAGAATGAGGGAAGGAAGTGTTATAGCCTGTCTTTGGAGAGGAAGAAAACAGCATGCATTTTTATCAGTGTGGAAGGAAAGAGATGGAGGGAGAGCCCTTGCAGGCAGCAAACCTATTCACAAAATGCTTTCCATCTGCAATCGTGAAGCCTCAATGCATACCCCACATGACACATGGAAACAGATAGTGAATAATCGCAACGCCTTCACGGATGCACGTCTGCAGCCCGGGTCGCAGGCATTATATAACGGGCCGGATTTCCGCGCGCCCCCGCGGCGGTCCCCGGCTGGCGCCGCTCCCTTGCCAGCCCCATTACCTGTAGGAACGCTCCCCGCGCACTGTGTGCTTCCGGAAAGGAATGATGGTCCCGTTATCCTGGATGATGTCGTTGTTGTTCTCGCCATTTGGGGACAGGGTTTGGGTCGGCCCAGGCATTGGCGCACTCCCGAGAAGAGGGACAAACCGCTGAGGGCTGGCTGGTGAGAAAGGTGGCTGCGTCTTCCCGCTCGCTCGCCTGCTCCGCGCACGGACCGTGCCTGCCGCCTGCTCGCTGGCTCCCTCGCTCCCTTCTCCCACCTCCCGCTCCCGCCCCGCCCTCCGCGTGCCCGCCCTCCCGGCAGCCTACGTCAGAGCGCCGGCAGCAGCACCCGGGTCACGTGGCCGGCCGGTCACCATAGCAACCCGCTAACTCATCACCTCGCCTCAATTCGCACAGGGCCGCGGCGTGACCAAGCCAGCAGCTCCAGGCAGGCACCGGGGCAGGCCTACATCTGGCATGTAAAACCCCAGGCCACCGCGCAGCCCCCCTCGCAGACCCGCCTGGTCTGAAAATCAGCTCTTCCTCTAACCGTTTCCTTTCCGACCCGAGCTCCGACTGCAGCTGTGTACACAAAAGAACGACTCATGCAACGGGGTGTGGAAGACCCTTTAACTCCTTCAATACCAAGTTCTTATGCCTTGAACATTAAACTTGGTCAGGATTCAGAAAAATCTAAAAGGACCTGGCGGCCAGCTCTAGAACAGGTATCAGACTAAGGGGTTAAAGCCTCTAGCATCCTCTCCCATTCTCTAAATAGCAGCAGCCTCCCCCCTCAAAGAAGGCAAAAAATGAAAGCCTAAGAGGAAGCTGTGTGTCCTAATCAATGCAGCCTTTACTTTGATAATGTGAGAATTAAAGATTACAAAATGACAGATTCTCTGTACAAAAGTGTCCCCCGAAAGGCTTTTTTCCTTTGAAAGAAGACAAACACCATTTTTGAACATCACAGTTACCCAAGATGCCCCAATTCAAATTCTTTATATTACTTTCTGATAGAGATTATTGATTTCTTATCATTTATTCTATTTCCATTCTTTTTTTTTTTTTTTTGAGAGATTTTGCTATAGGGAGCATGCATTCAGGGGAGAGACAAAGACGGGGCAGAAAGCAAGAAATCACGCCCTCCCCAGAGGGCATAGCCACCCCGCGATCCCTTCTTCTCCATTCTCCACTCAGATCTTGGGGATGCATCCACACGTGCCCAGTGTGAGTTTTAAGCCGCTGGGTCTGGGACTCGAACCACTGTCAGCTACGTGGAAGTCCAGTGACATAACCATTACACCATCTACTAGTCTCCTATTTCCATTTGGATTAAATAAGTAACCACATTATTATTTGAAAGCTCTCAACATTCAAGCTGTTCTACATCATTGCAATGTAGTTTTCAAAGAGACTGGTTATGAAACAGGTTCTAAATTGTACCCATTTTAAAGATGAGTAAACTAACCAGGTTAAATAAATTCTTAAAGTCATGCAGCTAAGAAGTGGTGAACTGGAACTTCAAAAAGACCAGCAGATTGTGTAATGGTTGCATTGCTGGACTCCCACATAGGTGACCATAGTTTGAGTCCCAGACCTGGCAGCTTGAACTCACGCTGGGAGCTTGTACATGCGTGCACAGAATCCTGGGAGGAGAATGGAGAAGAAGGGATTACAGCATGGCCGTCCCCCCTGGGGGATGATTTCTCGCTTTCTGTCTCTTTGGCGAGCACACGTACCTTATAGCAAACTTCTGAAAAAAAAAAAGAAAATGACATGATTTTATCAGTGTGACTATATAATGTGAGCTGAAATATCACAGATCAAGATAAGAATCAAGTACTTTAGGTATGCTCCCAGCATGACCATTCTGAAAAGATAAATGTGAATAGAATTGTTAGTTCTGTACGAAGTGTATGGCTTAGATTATGAACTCTGAACAGACTCCAATGTATCTAGTGCTCTCCTCCGGAGAGGCAAGGAGAATTTGAAGGATTCTCTGCTTATCAGCAGTGATCTCTGGCCTTCTGTGGGGTAGGAGGGGAAGAACTGGAATGTAAAAGACACAGCATAAATACATGTGCAAGAAAGTACTAGGCTACGGCTCACTCTTTCATGTCATTGTATGGTTTATCAGCTTTATCCTTTTGTGATACAGATATTAAAAACAAGTAAAAACTTTGTCATTCCTGACAGTTCTCAGCATATGTTCCTGTTAATAAGTTATTTCTGGTATCAAGCTTCTGGAATTAGAATCAAATGTTTCTCAACCCAGATGGTAATGATAATCTCAAACAAGGGGTCCGCCCCTTTTTTCTTTCTATTTTATACTCTTCATTTGGAGTATTATTTTAGTTCATTTACTTTCTACTTCTCCATTTAGTTCACAGGGCATAAGATGATTCCTTCAGCCACATCTTAGCATCTGTGAGATTTTTTTTTTTTCCTTATCCAATCAGGATCCAGCTGTGACCTAGCAGAAGGTACCCAGAGAGATATAGAAGTACAAGAGACAGACACCAAGGCTCACACTGCACAGTGAGCTAAAGGGGCATGAGAGTGCAAGCGCTGCTACTAAGATCCATGCTTCCTCTTACTATTTTGGTTACTCGTCCCACTGCTCTCAATTTTCTTGTTCCCTTTCACAAAAGCTTCCTCTTTCTTTGGGGACAGGCTAAAGTTGAAAGGCACAGTCCTCAAATCAAATATTCAATGATGTCGGAGTATTATACACCCTCTTTGTTCTGATTCTTTAGTACAGCTTACTTTCCTGTGATCCTACGGGTAAGTAATTGGTTAGACATAACTGGGGTTTTCCTGGGGTCTCAATTTCTCAGAATTTGAATGTATTGTTCATTGATTACACCAACTACTTTTGTGGAGAGAATGCTTTCCCTTTGTGTCTAGGATGCTCATGAAGGATGGAATGACAGCCAAGAATTTGGGTTGATGGGCTGAAAGGAAGGGGTGTGAGGCAGGTGAAGGAGGTACCTGAGAGCCTTTGTAAATCTTCTCCTATGACTGCTCTGAGCCACACTACTATAAAGGGACAGAGAGAGCCCCAGAGAGCAGTGATTACCCTCTGAGATGCAGAGGTAACAGGGGTAATAATTTGAAAATATTAAACAGATGTGTTTTCATTCCTCTCCCCATAAATCAGGTTACCTGGCAGCCATTCTCTAGTTTAACCCTAAGGAAGAGGGGAGGGAAAATTCCACTTTGGGAAAGA